AAAACTGTAAATGCAATTATTTTTTTATTCATGAATTTTGTTACAGAAAATCAATTTTTGCAAGTTATATCAACTTCACAACTTATTTTAATTTCTTATTAATTTTCGTAAAAGCTATATTACGGATAAATGTAATCCAAATTAACATCTTATCTCTTTATTATGGTAGAGGGGAATAACAACTTGCCAAAATGCTAAAGGTTGTAATAATATTGCCAGATTTTGTATAGATTATACATGGAAAAAACGATTTGGCGTGTTTGAAGGTTTATTAACCTATAAAATATTAGGATAAAATATGAGAAGATGGCTCCTATAATATGCTTACAAACAATGTGCCCCACCGCACACCCTCCACTCACACACATTTTGGCAAAATTTGTTTTATTGCAAATGAAAAAAAGAAAGTGATTGGGGACAGTGTTTTACTATTAGACTACAAAAGATCAGGGTTTTTTTTTTGTTTTTTTTTTGGTTTGTCACTTTCAGAATTGTGCCATGAGTATGTTTGCAAGACATAAGACTGACAGACGTGATATGTATATGAAGATATGAGGAACCGCCTTATCCAAATAGATATTTTGTTAAAATTTAAATGAAGTATGATGAACTGCGAAACGCAGTTCATCATATTTAGCTTTATCAAATCCATTATATGAATTGGTCATGTTTGGTCAGATATATCAATTTGAAATGTATATAATGTAGAAGTGTTATCACTACTGCATTTCTCCCTTAGACTTACAAATTAATAAAATTTGCTATTTCATTTGAATGATCTATACCTTATCTTATATTGATCAGGTGGTGAACAGGTTAACAATTACTAGTAAGCCAATATACAGTACTGCCCGTTGTAATTACCACTGCAACTTTAAATACACATAACAGTTTCGACGATTTTGTTCTATTAATTGTCTTTTCAAACCGAAGACTTGAACATTCGTTTTTGCTGCATCTCCCTAAAGCTTAGGTATGCAGCTTTTTGGAACAAGATCAAAAGACTAGTGAGCTCAAAGTCAGACTAGACGGAGTTGCTTTATGACTGGGAAGGCTGTCCCATGGGGAAAAACGGGAAAACGCAGTGTTGCAAACTCAAAGGAATTAACTAAAAGGCACCACAAGTAATGGAACCAGCGACGTATATTACATTAACAAATTCTCACCCCGAATATGCATATAATATTTGTCGTTAAACAGCCATTACATGTAACCCATTCATCAAAATTTTCATGGGCATTCTGAACCACAATCTTCATGTATGACATTAGTTCCTCAACAAATCCTGAATGTGTGTAGATAAAATCATGAATAAAGTATATAAACCACATAAAAATTTCTGGTTTTCAATTTTTTTAATCCCATTTTTTAAATGAACAGTTAATGTTAACAGCATTTTTTGTAATAATATTTACAGCTTTTTTTTAAAAATCCAAACAAACATTCTCAGTTACGCCTTGTTTCAGTCATCCAAAAACACTGTAAAACTCTTAGTTATTTCAATTTAGGTTCTATTAGGCTTATACAATAGAAGCATAAATATAAGAATGTGGTTAAAAACTATGATCTATACTACGTGTTATAGTGTTCTTTTTGTTTGTCTTTATATACTTTTAACCTTTACTGTTTAATCTATTTTTGGTCATATCTTTTTTGCGTGGCTCGGTATTTATACATCCCGCCCTTGTGTTATTGTGCTATCGTCATTTTTTGTATTCTTGTCTTTCTGTTTTGCTTATTTGCTTTTTCTATGGAGTGTTTATATTCATATGCCATTTTGTTTTTATGCCCCATCTACGATAGTAGTAGGGGCACTATGTTTTCTGGTCTGTGCGTCCTTTCGATCGTCCGTCCGTCCGTCTGTCCCGCTTCAGGCTAAAGTGTTTGATGAAGTTGAAGCCCAATGAACTTGAAACTTAGAACACGTTTCCTATGATATGATCTTTCTAATTTTAATGCCAAATTAGAGTTTTGACCCCAATTCCACTGAACATAGAAAATGATAGTGCAAGTGTGGAATCCGTGTACTATGGACACATTCTTGTTCTTTGTTAAATTAGTTTTTTGTTTTTATAGTGATTAAGATTATAACACAATGTTGACTGCTGTATCCCAAAATTTTGATATTTTTACCTATTATGTCTGTTTATTTTGCTCACACATTACTCTCAATATAATGGAATTCTATGTGACTGTCATACAAGTGAGAGGTTTAACTAGCTGTATAACCAGGTTTAATCCACCATTTACTACATAAAGAAATGCCTGGACCAAGTCAGGAATATGACAGTTGTTATCTGTTCGTTTGGTGTGTTTGAGATTTTGATTTTGCCATTTGATAAAGGACTTTCCGTTTTGAATTTTCCTTGGAGTTTGGTATTTTTGCTATTTCACTTTTTTATATTGTTTTGCAAAAATCTAGTCAATTCTAATCATTAAATACCTGAAATGGTGTGCTCCTTTCACATAAACTGCATAAACAAAATAATGAAGATGATGAATTAGATCGACTCTACATAAGTTTTATGATCACCATCACAAATTGGTTGACCGGTATGTGTTTGTGTCTCAACTAGCTTACAATATGTCTTCACATTCCTAGATTTTTAGATACTACATAAGTCATCTGATCTGTAATTTTACCAATTTAACATTTTGACCGAGTGTGGATTAACAGGGCAGGTGACAATCGCTGGCACAGAGCTCACATCTGCTCCGTACTTACTTCGTATCTCTACACCGAATATGACGTCTTTGTATTGTAGTGTACTGTACAGAGATTGTAGTGTAGAGTACTGAGTATACGGAACGGAAACGAGTGCTGTACGGAGATTGTAGTGTAGTGTACCGAGTATACGGAACGGAGACGAGGGCTGTACAGAGATTGTAGTGTAGTGTACTGAGTATACGGAATGGAAACCAGTGCAGTACGAAGATTGTAGTGTAGTGTACTAAGTATGCGGAACGGAAACGAGTGCTGTACGGAGATTGTAGTGTAGTGTACTGAGTATACAGAACGGAGGCTGTAGAGATTATAGTGTAGTGTATCGAGTATACGGAACAGAAACGAGTGCTGTACGGAGATTGTAGTGTAGTGTACTGAGTATACGGAACGAAAACGAATGCTGTACGGAGATTGTAGTGTAGTGTACTGAGTATATGGAAGGAGGCTGTACAGAGATTGTAGTGTAGTGTACTGAGTATACGAAACGGAAACGAGTGCTGTACGGAGATTGTAGTGTAGTGTACTGGGTATACGGAACGGAGACGATGGCTGTACGGAGATTGTAGTGTAGTGTACTGAGAATACGGAACGGATACGAGGGCTGTACAGAGATTGTAGTGTAGTGTACTGAGTATACGGAACGGAAACGAGTGCTGTACGGAGATTGTAGTGTAGTGTACTGAGTATACGGAACGGAGACGAGGGCTGTACAGAGATTGTAGTGTAGTGTACTGAGTATACGGAATGGAAACCAGTGCAGTACGAAGATTGTAGTGTAGTGTACTAAGTATACGGAACGGAAACGAGTGCTGTATGGAGATAGTAGTGTAGTGTACTAAGTATACAGAACGGAGGCTGTAGAGATTATAGTGTAGTGTATTGAGTATACGGAACGGAAACGAGTGCTGTACGGAGATTGTAGTGTAGTGTACTGAGTATACGGAACGAAAACGAATGCTGTACGGAGATTGTAGTATAGTGTACTGAGTATACGGAAGGAGGCTGTACAGAGATTGTAGTGTAGTGTACTGAGTATACGAAACGGAAACGAGTGCTGTACGGAGATTGTAGTGTAGTGTACTGGGTATACGGAACGGAGACGATGGCTGTACGGAGATTGTAGTGTAGTGTACTGAGTATACGGAACGGAGACGATGGCTGTACGGAGATTGTAGTGTAGTGTACTGAGTATACGAAACGGAAACGAGTGTTGTACGGAGATTGTAGTGTAGTGTACTGAGTATACGGAACGGAGACGATGGATGTACGGAGATTGTAGTGTAGTGTACTGAGTATACGAAACGGAAACGATGTACGGAGATTGTAGTGTATTGTACTGAGTATACGGAACGGAGACGAGGGCTGTACAGAGACTGTAGTGTAGTGTACTAAGTATACAGAACTGAGAGGAGGGCTGTACAGCGATTGTAGTGTAGTGTACTGAGTATACGGAACAGAGACGAGGGCTGTACAGAGATTGTAGTGTAGTGTTCTGAGTATACAGAACGGAGACGAGGGCTGTACAGAGATTGCAGTGTAGTGTACTGAGTATACAGAACCGAGACGAGGGCTGTACAGAGATTGGGCAGGTGATACATGTACAGCAGGAGATGCTTTCCTTCTAAACACACTAGTCTCATTCCTGGAGCTCATGTCATTCCTTCAGTTTTTGTTTGTTTCCTTGATTTGTATCGTCTTTATTGATGTATGAGATTTGAACATCTGTAAACCACAGTTGTCTAAATTGATCAATTACTTAATTTGCAAAGCAATAATGCAATTTCTTCGAAAGTTGTTAAACCTTGATGATTCTATTACTTCTACACCAGTTTGGGGTTTAACTCACTAGTACTATCACTCTAGTCAAGGTAAGATGATTATGATGGATGGTTGCTTAATGTTGAGCGGCAAATTTATATGCATATATATTCAGGACATGTTGATGTAATACTACACACTGAGCTGTATTTTGAACGTGCTAGTTCACAAGGTAACAGTCTGCAGAAAAACATATCTTACCCAGACACATTATTCTGACTACATGCCGACAAGTCTTTGCTCTTACTCCTAAATGCCATGTGATTAGCCGAGAGGCAGCAAATACCAATTTTAAAGTCGTTAGTTTGACCCGGATGGGGTTTGAACCCAAGACCTCCCGCACTCGAGGTGAACACACTACCACGAGACCAACGAGGCTGTGTCAAGGTAAGAAAACAATGTCCTATTACATGATAATTGGCCTCATAAATAGCTATTTTTTTGTTTTCACTTTTCATTTATGTAATTCATTTAATCCATTATGTACAAAAAATACACAGCACTTTTTACAAAACAAAAATAACAATCAAAATACTATGTAGATCTCTTTGCATACTCATCATAAATACAGAATATTTAAATTCACTTAGAATATGAAAATAATAGCTGTTGACTTTTTTCATGTGATGGGCTTTTGTCACGCAATTTTCAAGTTTGCTTAGATTTGCAGTACATGTATTCTATATCTTTCTATGTATGTTCAACAAATTTTTAATAGTTTAACAACTTCTTTTTTAATCCTTTTTAAACCAACAGCATTTTGAAGCTGGTGAATTTTCTTCATTTTTTTATTCTTTCTGTTACTTTTTTTTATATCTTTAAGAATGTTTATCAATATCAAACATTGATTCTATAATTGATTTAAAAATCTAAATTCAAAATGAATCAGAAAAAAATGTAATTTATGAAATTATGATCATAATTTTCTATAAAATGATTCATACTTTGCAAAGATAAAAGCATGATCCAGGGTTGTTCTAAAAAAAAGCATACAAATTTAACACAACAAAAAAAAACCAGGGGAACCATGTTATTTTAAATATCAGGCTATATTCATAATGGATAAAAGGTAGAATACAACCCTCCATAACTATGTGCAACTAGAGGAGCCTCCCCCTACCTTATATGTTTAAAGGAACAATGTAAAATACAAAAAAGAACAGTATCTTTTCCATCAATATAATCAACAACAAAAAAACAATAAATTAATTGCACAATCAACGACTTTCTTCACATTCTGCAGGAAAACAAGCTTTTAAATAAATTCATACAGCCAGTGAATAAGTCAAATAAAAAATTCTTACAAATGTATATCTTGTTTCATTACGTTAATATCAATTCATGACGAAAGGGATACCCAACAGGTGTGGACAATTTAATCCCTAATCATGCTAATGTGTCATTGGAAATAATCATACCTAATCATTTTAACAAATTTACAATTTGTATTAAATCTAAGCCAGCAGATTCCCTGAAAAATATATAATTGCTAGAAAAGGTAATTTAATACTTAATTTGTTTGCTTTAAGTCTGTGACAAAAAATGGCTAATAAGTTGCTTTAATAATGTTAATTTCACAATGCTTTTAAAACTTCCTGTTGACTCAAGTTGTAAAAAGTAACTTCCCTTGAATGTATCCCCTTTAAGAAAGTGTTATTTGGCATGCAGTCGCTTCTTTTCATTCAATAATTGTGAAATGATATCAAAGAGTATATGTTGTTATTATGACATGAATGAGTAGAGGGTATGACAATATTGCTAGTTTTATTACCAAAGGCTAGTAATGATTCCAACTGATTAGTAAACATCATCAACCAGACAAAAACATTGGAATATTATATTTAAAAAGTAAGCCCTTAATCCTGATTTATTTTAAATGACTAAAAAATTTAAGAAATACAAATCAACCAAAAACTTCAAAATTATCATAGAGTTTATTGTTGAGTATTCCATCTAATTTATGTACATCTTGTGTGATTTGGACTTATACAACTTACATTATTAAAAGCTGTGTCATCAAAAACCACTACTACAGTCTATGCTAGTTACAAATTTTTACCTGCCGTTCTGAAAGAACTCCTCTATGAGAATAATATGAAATAAGTAAACAATGCAAGACAACAGAAAGTAACCCATAAAACTGTGTGACAAGTATATTGCTGATATACATAACACATAAACACATTATTTTTCTTCTTGTAAAGCACTTAAGTTCATCTGGAGCACATAATTCAAGTAATACCTTTAAATTTATTGATACAAGTTATCAAATAGCTTTTTATATCTGTTTGTGTTAGCACTTTAAAATTCACCACGACGCTTAGGCATATCATCTACATGATCTATGGCTTATGAAAAATAACTCAAGAGAAAATTGAAATGCTTGTTGTTTCAAAAATCATGGTGTCAGATTTATTCAAAATGTTCTTTACTCTGTGGAAAATTTAAAAAAAAACATTGAAGTTGTGTTCATATTACAACTACATTGGTTGTGAAAGAATCTAGAATTTGCAATTCAAATTTTGAATTACTTCCCTTTGGTCACAAATTTGGCTTTGTAAACGAGAATCCTCGAGTTGAAATTTAAATCATCTACTTAACCCCACAAACTTGACTTAAACAGAGATGAAGATAAGCTATTTGAATATAACAAAAGTAAGCAATTATTGTAAAATTGGATTTTGTATATGCCTACCACCATGTTTATATGAAACCAAGGAAAATGTTTATCAATTTCCAGTTTCAAAATAAAAGTTTTAATTAGTAACAATATGCAGAGATAGTGTTATTTCTCATACAGTGCTGCTTAAAAAAAGTATTGGCCACCACAGAAGGTAAAATTATACAAATAGTTGTTATCTAATCTTAAAATCTCTATCTTATAATACAATTCAAGTAGGGTGAATTAAAATACAAAAACAACATTTTCAGCTTCAAAATTTACAAGATACAATATGATGGAAATTCTGACTGTAATCATTGATAGCGATATAAACAAAGACAACATGCTTTCCACCTTAAACATCCATATCACTTATAAATCCTATTCAGTGGTTCTGACCTAGGACCTGAGACATATCTGAAGGTCTACCAATATCAAATGATAAGTATGATATATAATACATCAATGGCTGTCTTTAAATATCCATGATGTCATTAGCTGCCTTCTGAATGAGAGAACACCATAATTTTCACCACCATTTCCTTCAAGACTGAGAGTCTGTAAAAAAAAGCAAAATGAATAATCTTACTGTGAGTCCATTAATTTAAAATAAGGTCAATTATAAAAAATAATCTGTATGAGATTTATATCATGGGTAAAGCCAAGAATGATAAATTCTCTTACTGTAATAAACAGTGAATAGGTCAAGTACAATAACTAATCTGTATGAGATCTACATCAAGGGTAAAGCCAAGAATGATACATTCTGTTACTGTAATAAACAGTGAATAGGTCAAGTACAATAAATAATCTGAAAGTGTATCGGTAGTAATTGATTGGTGTTTAACGCCACTTTCAGCACTATTTGCTATTTTTCGTGGCGATACCTTTTTAATTGGTGGAGGAAGCCTAAGTGGCAGGAGAGTACCACAGACCTTCAGCAGGAAAATTGACAATCCTAGTCAATTGAGATTGGAGTCAAACACATCTGCCACGTGTGGGATTCAAACTCAAAACACAGTGTTGACAGGCTAGTTATCAGTATTTGAACAATTTAGACCATTCGGCCTCGAGGCTCCTCTGTATCAATTGAAGATAGGGCCATATATAATAAACAATTCAAAAAAAGGTTACCCCTTACTGTATTTATTGCTAGGCCTGCAACTGCAGCTGTTATGGCAAAAGTGTAATTTTGTTCATTTGCAATAAATACGTCCAGTTATCAGTATAGCAAGTTACAAATAATTCAAAAAAAAAAGAAAAATTTGCTCAAAATGATATCTTTTGTTTGTAAAGAATCTTCTGCACAAATCTTCACAGAAATTTGGAAATGTTTACAGAATGTTCTCTTCATCATCAAAAGAGACCATCTAAAGGAGAATTTAAATTCTAATGTATGGGCTTAAGCTTTTTCGCAGTCAAAATTTAGGAACAGATGACTATGGTTCAATATGTGGGACAAAAAATAAAATAAATTGGCTAACATATTTAAATCCACATCTCAGTGATCTCATAGTTTTAAAAATTATTCAAACAAGAGACAACATCATCATGCTCATACGGTGGGTGAATAAAAAGACATGTGAAAATATATCATTGATTTGATCCCTTATTTGTAATATACAGGATTATCTATTCTTCTAATCTAGATAATGTTTATATTACAAAGTACTTTAAGAATAAGGAGAAATTAAATGCTTGCCATGTGAAAACTATCTACCAGATACCAAATTATAAGAATGTTAACATCTATAGGTCTCCTTACAGCCTGAGCATTGAGCCAAAAAAGGCCCTGAGATAACAAAATATTATAAGAATAAATTTCAGTAAAGATGTAGTTTATTATTCCCCTTACTCCTACTTTGTAAATTTAAAAAAAGACAAATATTTTTAGACAGAGTGAATATGTTTAAATTATCAAAAAATAGATATTGACACATGATTGAAAGGTTTAATTCTAATAGTACATTTCACATTTTTTAAGAATTTTAAGCAAAGGTTATGTCCCTTTGAACTGTTAAGTTTAATTTGTTTAGGGCTGTTCCATAAAAACATACATGGGATCCAGGGAAGGCACTTCCAAATCTCAACTAGGGGTGGGTGTCATCTATGTTTTTGCATAGTGGAAATGTAAGCGAAATTTTAATTTGCCCCTTTTTTAAAGTGCCTTCCCTGGGTACCATCTATGTTTTAATGGAACAGCCCTAAACAAATTTGTTTTTAAACCAACATTGCAACTTTCTAATGTATATTAAGGAGACCATTAGGAAGTATGTAACCATCTTTTTGTACATCAAATTCTGTAGTCAACTGCTAGTAAATTTTCTTGACAAATTATTTAGTTTCTATCTTTTCTCTCTCTTTTCCTAAACCCAAACCAAACACAGAAAAAAATCCAGATAGACTGAAATTCTGGATATGGAAAATGTCTGGTGAGACAGTTAAGACTAAAAATTCAACAATCCTTCGAGATATCAATTCATTTTACCAAAGCAACCAAAGTTGCTATTTATAGAACAGAAAAATCAGGAAGTTTAATTATACTTCATAAGTATTCATGTAAATTCCAGATAAATACCATCATCTTTATCTTTCATCCTTTTTTTCTTCTTCTTGTCTTTCTTTTTCTTTTTATCTTTCTTCTGTTCTTCTGAAAATTTTAGTTAGATTCTGTTTGCCTGTAGAGATGATTTTTACAGACGCGAAAGCAATTTTACAAGCCTGGGCTGCTAGGCCTGTGGCTAAGCGTGATGACTGGTAACAATTTCACTTGTTTTAGTTACAATACCAATCCTTTTGGTCATATAGCTCTTCAACTGTTTTTGTTTTTAAACATCTTTTGATTTTAAATATTTGGCTTTGCGTGTTCCTGATGAAGGTTTATCTAAGTGCTTCGGACACATGAAATTTGTAAAGTGTTGTTTACATTTTACAACTCATTGATGTTAAACTTCTGAAGTTATTTAGTTCAGCAGATCCTGGAAAAACAGACAAAATGATTTGTTGGAATAATGGAGGAACGAACTATTGGAAAAACAAGGTGATTACAATATAGCCCCACAGCTATTGATTGACTGTTGCCTGCTAGAGTGGGTATAATGAAGAGATGTGTTATGATTGTCAATGATGCAATAATCCAGCAGTGTCACCAGATACAAAACTTTTCATACCTTGTGAATCTTGTAAAGCTCCAGACCTCTCTTCTTTCCTTTTCTTCGGTTTGTGTTTCTTTTTAGGCATCTGACTCATGAATCTGTACTGTTCTGGAATCTACAATAACAAGAAAGAACACATTAGTCTAAATCATGAATCTGTATTTTTGTTCTGGAATCTACATGTACAATAACAAGAAGGAACACACGACTTTAAATCATGAATCTGAATTGTTCTGGAATCTACAATAACACGAAGGAACACACGACTCTAAATGAGACTCTAAATGATGAATATATATTGTT